GAGAGAGAGAGAGGAGGGAAGAAAGGTTTGAAACAACCCGAACCTCAATTATTCATCCATTCATCCGTTTATTACTCCATTCACAAATTCCACGGTAACAGGTAACGTACCACATAACAAAGATAAAGATCTTCAATGTTACAGCTTACAAGTTTAGAACCAGCTGAATATTTCACTCCTACTCGAATATACCCAACCAATGGACTACCGTTATTTATGCCTTATTGAAATGGATTGATGGATGGTAATGTATGGGCGAATGACTGAAGGTAGATGGAGGAATGAATGAATGAATGAAGACCTGTGGTTGTGATCTTATCTGTATACGGTAATTGCGGCGAGTATCAGTACTGAGTACATACATACATATATACACCTTTATTGAATTGTGAACTGATATATTGATTCCCTGCAGCTCTTCACACTCATATTTCTGCAAGTTATTGAAACAAGAATGAGAATAAGGTCGCCGATATCGAAAACCTGACTGTCACTACTACTCTGCGAGAGGTCTAATAAGTTATCCATACAGTCCTTGCCCTTACTTCATTTTCCCATATATTTAACTCACTCATTGGTTTAGAATTATCAAGGGGTCTCCGCATATTACCTTTTATCATCAAAATGCAATCTCGAGAATCGATAACTTCAATCTTCCCCAGTCTAGAACTTCAACCGTTTAGGATTTGATTCGGATTATTTCGTTTTACTACTCGAGTATTCTATATGGTCCGAGAACGGCCTTGGATAGAAACCCAAATCAATAAATATCTGCTAGGATATGAAGAATATGAAGGATATGATTGGATATGATTGGTAGGATGTTCAACCAGGGGCTCGCCTTACACGGCAGCGGCAGAGAGTTGCCCATGTACTATCCATATCATATCATATCATAAGGTTACCCAGCCGGTATTGTATATTATGTTGTATTGAGTTTTGAGTTGGCAACGCAACGCAGCGCAAGCAACATAACGCAACATAACGCATAGCAACCCTATACCTTACACTTTACGCAATACCATACACAACCGAACGGGTTTTGTCTATCTTGTCTACTTTGTCTCGGGTATTGGAGAGGGTTGGGTTGTACAAAGGGATTGTTGGGCTTGCACACTTTCTTATGTTTTATATATCGGGTACTCGAGATTACAACAGATTGGCCGACGGATGGATGATTGGATTTGGATTGACAAAGGTAAAGGAATCTGAATTGAAATCAAATTGACAAGGAGAGAAGAGAGAGAATACTATACTATACTATACTACTACTATACTATAGTATTGATATTGGAGAGGCGCGGCATCTATCTTATATTACATTGTCTGTGCGGAATTTCTTCTTTCCATTTGAACTTGAAAGGTAATATATTGGGTTCATTCAAAAGCTATTTTTAGGGGGAAAACATAAACATACGATTTAAGTTATATCAATTGTTTTGAATCAATTGCAATTGGAAGGTTTTGCGCAAGTAGGAAAAGGAAAAGGAAAAGGAAAGAAAGGAGACGGGATCATACTGTACCGGAATTCGCATGAGAAGGAAGGCAAGAAGGTTGGATGAATCTGTATCAACGAACGAACGAACGAACAAACATACGAACGAACGGACATTGAATGAATAACGAAAGCGAAAGGCGAATATCTGCGAATATCTGCGACAATTGATTTGGTTTCGAGTTCATTTCAATTTCAATTCGATTTCACTTTTGCTATACCTCAAACACTTTGTCAAACAACCCATTTACCATCTACCTATACTCGTACCCATATTCGCCATTCAACAACCACTATTTATCAACCAATCTCCAATACCCTCCTCTTTCCCTCTCAACCACCCACACAACACCATACATACCACAGCGCCCACCATGACCCCCACTCCATCCACCCCCCACCGCATCAGCATAACCATCCTCGGCGACGGCGGCGTCGGCAAATCCGCCCTAACCCTACGCCTCGTGAAATCGGCATGGACATCCGACTACGACCCCACGATCGAAGATTCCTACACCCTCACACGACGCATCGACGGGCAAACATATCATCTGAGTATTACCGATACAGCGGGGCAAGAAGAATATCGCGGCATGTGGCAGAGTGCTAATGGCAGTATGCGGAGCGATGCGTTCTTACTCGTTTATGATATTACTAGGCGGGAGAGTCTGGATGCGCTGGATTGGTTTGATGAGTTGGTTAGTATGGAGGGGGAGGTACGGGGCGAGGAGTGGAGGAGGGCGATGGTGGAGTCTGAGCGTGCGCGTGAGAAATCGAGGGAGGGGTCCCGATCTAAGTCTAAGTCTAAGTCTAAGTCGAAGTCGAGGGCGAGGAAACCGAGGAATTTTAATGGGAATGGGAATGCAAATGCGAATGCGATACAAGGGGGATCTGAATATGGATATGAATATGGCTATACCCCCCCAATCAAAATCGTCGCGGGTAATAAATGCGATCTGCAGCAATCGCGCGAGGTAACGGCATCGCAGGGATTGGAGTGGGCGAGGGCGAGAAATTGTGGGTTTATGGAAACTAGTGCGAGGAGTATTGTTAATATTGAGGAGACTTTTGCTTTGATTATTAGGAGGGTTGTTGAGGGGAGGAGGAGGGCGGATTTGTATCGGGAGGAGGAGGAGGAGGAGGGGAGTTCATTTGGGGAGGGGGTGGAGATGATGGGGAGGTGGAGGGGGATGAGGATGAGGATGGAGATGGAGATAGTAAGGTGGAGAGTGAAAGGGAAAAATTAGGAACGAGGAGGGCGATGACGAAACCGTTGACTCCGTTGCCGCCGGGGAGTGAGGAGGGAGGGAGAGGGAGAGGTGGAGATAATGAAAATGAAAATGAAAAGAGGAGGGGGGTGAGGAGGAGACAGTGGAGGGAGTTTGGAAGGAGGTTGATTTGTTGGAGGTAATCGGAGGGGGGGTGTGGTTTGTGATGGGATGAGAAGGGTTGGATGAAATGGACTGAATGGATGCAAGGATGCATGGATTCATGGAGATGGAGATGGAGATGGAGATGAGAGGAGAACTTACGATATTTTTAATGACTTTATTCTTTATCTTTTACCTTACCTTACCTTACCTTACCTTACCTTACCAATCAATGGGTGGTGTGTGTGTGGGTGTGTGGGAAGGGAATGTATTGAATGAGTGAGTGAGTGAGTGGGTGATATGCTTGCTTGCTTGCTTGATCACTTTTCTTTTCGTCGCTATCAGAGTAGAGTGAAGAGAAGAGAAGAGAAGCAACTTGAAGACGCTGGATATCTATTTGTTTTTATTTATTTTTTATTTTGAGGAAAGGATGGGATGGGAAGGGATGGATGGATGGGATGGGATATGGATGGAGTGCAGGTATATGGATAGTTTGGGATGGGATAGGCTGGTAGTATAGTATAGTATAGTACTATAGTATAATATGGAATTGGGGAATGGAAAATGTGGGATGGGAAATGCGTCGGGATGAGACGGGATGGGATGAGATGGGTATTATATAGGATATAGGATAGATAATACTATACAGGATATAAATAAAATGTAGAATACAACTGAAGTTGAAAGATAAAACCATATAGGACTTTACTTTACTTTACTTTACTTTACTTGACTAGCCTATCTTATATTATAGATTATATTATATTATATTTGTTGGAAAGTATATATCTACTAGTATAGTGATTGTACAGATACAAAAACTTTTGGTTCTAACAATATTACAGATTATTTTATACTATGATTATAAATTACTTTCTCTCTCTCTCATATATATACATCCTATAAAGATTATATTATATCTACTATTATATAGGCTACTCGAGTATCTATCTAGATATTTTACTCTTATATTGTTTCCTCTTATACTCTACTCTTATATTATCTTCTCTTACTCTTATACTCTACTCTTATACCATCAACTCTCATACTCTCCTCTCACTCTCACACCATATACTCTCATATTCTCCTCTCACTCTCATACTCTCCTCTCATACTCTCATACTCTCCTCTCACTCTCACATCATATAGAATCAATAATAAAATCAATAAGTATAATAATAAAATAAAATCAACCAATTTTAAACAACTTGAACTTGAATATGAATAGTACTAGGGACTCGACTCCGACCCTGAGTTGGAGACTCGGAGGGATAGATAGATAGATCTTTTCAAGTTGGAAGCTTTTGTACTCGTGTAAGGGTTTGAAGGGTTGGAAGACTGTAGGTTATGGGGCTTGGGGTTTGAAAGTTATGGGGTTTGAAGGGGGAGGTGTAGTTGGTGGAATTGGTGATGATGATGGTGATGGTGATGATGATGGTGGAATTGAAGAGTGGATTTTATTATATAATTTGGATTTAAATTTGAAGGGAGGCAGGAGGGAGGAGGGAGGAGGGAGTAGAGAATAGAGAGTAGAGAGTAGAGAATAGATAATAGATGCCATTATACTCACTAGCAGTAGTGCAAAAATAGAATAAAATAAAATAAAATAAAATAAACTAAAACAAAATAAAAATCTACAACACTAACTGGCATGATGATGAAAAAAGTAGAATATAAATATAAAGTAAGACTTACTCTTGCTCTTACTCTTACTATATCTAACCTATACCTATACCTAGATACTCGAGTATAGAATTTAGTAACTTAAGTTAATCTTATCTACTTACTCAATTATCACACCCGGGCCGTGACCTCGTAGTTATATTATTTAAAGAATAGATAGATACTATATAATTTTTAAAGTTGGTACTAGTATTATAAAAGTTAAAAAGTTAAAAGTAAAAAGTTAAAAGTTAAAATAATATCTATCGATTTTTGTTTTGTAGTATAATATGATATCATAATAACTCGGAAAATAGATAATATAATATAATATAATATAATATAATGGAATATAAAATATTCAAGTTTAATCCAATTTTTGCTAGTGCCAGTCAGTGGTGGAATGAGAGTACAAGTACGAGTACGAGTAATATTTTATATATATATAGATTATATTATATTGTAGCTTCAAGTTGTATTTATTGTGCAGTGGGTTTGAAGCTTTTGTTGTAGTGTAGCTAAGTGAGTGAGTGAGTGAGTGGGTAATAGTAAAGGATGTGAAAGAGGTGGAAGAGGTGAAAGAGATGAAAGATAAAAGTCCCAGATTAGATATCTAATTTGTGAAGTTGTAAGATGGAGTTGATTTATCTTCATTCATTGTATCATATCATATTGCAAAATGGAGTTGTTCTATTCTCACTGATTATCATATTATATCATAGCAACATCTTATCTTTATTCCTTCCCATCATCCACTACTTATTATCTTCAAGAATCATATTCCATATCCATATCCATTCTCACCACTTCGCCACCTCACATTATCTCCCTGCCGCAGCAGCAGCTTTTTTATCCTTCTCCGCCTTAGCATCTATCAACATCTGAACCCAACTCCTCCACTCATTAAATTCCTTCCAACTCACACTTTCCTTTCTCCCCTGAAACCTCACCACCGTCAACTGACCCACCTCTCTCCACTTCTCTCTTCTTCCTCCCCACCCCGCCTTCCTCATCGCACTCACCACCGTCTCTTCTCCTCCCCAATCCTGTTCTACCGCCACATCTGGTAGATAACACGCTCCATATCTCTTATTCTTATGATAAAACGTAATGCGTATACCATGTACCCCAATTTCCCACTCGAGCGGATGACTACACGTTTCGAAATCGGTTAGCAACGTAACGGCGACTTCGAGCGTGGGTAATTCTTCTAGAGTAATGGGCGAAAAGCGTGTGTCGTGTAGAGCGGATGTGAGGGCGTATTCGGGGAGTGAGGTGATGATGGGTTCGGAGGAGAAAGTCCCGATGCAACCGCGGAGGGTGGGGGAATTCTGATGTGAATGTGAGGTGCTGGAGATAGTATTCCAGGTCACGAAGAGAGGGGAGGACCAGTCGGCGAGGGGACCGGAGGTGGCGTATTGGGTTGTGTTCCGTGGTGTGGGATCGATGCCGATGGGGGTGAAAGATGTGGTGGAGCTAGATGGGGTGGTGCCAGTGGTTGAGGTGGAGTTTCTTGCAGAAGAGGTACTGGTACTGGAGGATGGAGTACTGGTTCCTGAGGTGGATCGTGCGATACGTTGAATAATGGGGTGACGTGCCGGATTAATGTTTGGGTTTGGATTTATATTTGGATTTGGATTCGTATTGATGGTAGAATTGTTACGTGAATTGGCGGCTTGAGAGGGAACTTCTTTTTCATCATCTTCTTCCTCTTCTTCAGAACTGTAAAGTTCGAGACCTTTTGGATAACATGCCCATAATTGTCGTACCTTTTCCAAGGTTATCGCAGGACGTTGTTCATGATAAGCAGTTAGAACTTCGAAACAAAAGAGACAATGATCTGGTGTTGCCATGATTTTGTATGGGTATGGGTGGATTTGGATGTGATGGGGTTGGGGTTGTGGTCGTGGTCGTGGTCGTGGTTATGATTGTGGTAGTTGTTGTGGTTGTGATAGTATTCGTAGTGAAGTTATGGTTGTAGTTGTGGCTGTGAAGGATTATGGATAAGGTACCGCCGGTATATGAATATCTGTAAGAGTGATTGTATTTGTGTTCATGTAGATGTAGAACTCTATTGTAGTTGAGGATTTTGATACCCAAGGTAAGTGGAGATGAGGTTAGTTTGGTAAGAAGAAGTGAAGTTGAAGAGAAGAGAAGAGAAGAGTGAAGTGGGAAGTGATAAGGTTACTACTGTAAGTGGAACGAAGTGAGATCGGGTTAATGTTAATGTTATTGTGGGACTTCATGGCGGGGTTGATTATCGGTGACCGGGTGACCTAAACCTAATTCATCCATTCCATCTACCACTTTTTGAGGGGTTTGAAGTTGATTTGTGCATATCGGAGTTAAGCAGCAAAGTTCTAGACTCGGTTCATTCCAAGTCTGATCGGTCTCGGTCGATCAGTAGGACAAGGGGCATGGTGATGAGAAGTGAGTGATTCTTTCATTCCTTCACTCAGAAACACAGAAACACACTCCTCGAGTTTTTATCCCATCGTAAAAATGAAGCTGGAGTTGTTTGACTTGAATTAACTAGCTCTATTTATACGATGGTGATAATGATGTTGATGAGGAGGATGATGATGATGAGGATGATGAGGAAGAGGATGATGTTTTTCCACCTCTTTCATTATACTCGAATACTAGGTAAGTAAGTAGTACAGTAATTGAAAGAGCTTCGAGAATTGAACTGTACCGCTTTAAGCTCTATGTTCAAGTACAAAGACAAATAAATGTCTATTTCGAGTAGTTAGTTATACAACACCACGTTTTTATTATAAAGAGGTTAATAAGAGTGAACTTGGAACTATGGACTGTGAACCATAACCACAACATCAAAGAATTTATTATATAATAAGTAAATGAATATCCATAAAATCAATCAATCTCTATCTCTATATCTATTTCAAGAACCTAGCTAGCTACCTAGGTAAGTATCCATCAAAAACAAGCTTTCTCCTCCCTTCCTCCTCCCTCTCTCCCTCCCTAATCCCCCTGATCTACCTAAACCTCCCAAACCACCAAGCCTCAAACCTCAACCTCGTCATCCATCAGAAACAAAAAACCTTATTTTCCCACAAAATCTCAACCCCCCAATGACTTTAAATTTATTCGGATCCCCATATTCCCGTCTTCTTCAAACTTTGTAAAGTGGCGTTAACATTAAGGTTACGAATACATCTCTCGCTTCACTTCATCTATGTTTCGTACCCCTGATTGATAGATACTTGTACATCGGTACTCCTTACCATCAGATTTCTTTCTTACTTTTCTTTTCTCTCTGACCTTGTAACTTGTACTTACCATCACCAAAGTACAGTACCGGTATACAAAAAGAACCCACGAAATTTATAAAAACCATGTACCTACGAGTACAAAAATGAGCTTTAGTTCATACATCCAAAGTCTCAGTATCATTTGATCATCCGGAAAGTAAATTAGCGTTTTGAACCCCAGTTTCTTTTCTTTTCTTTCTTTTCTTTCCCTTCCCTTTCCTTCCCTTTTCTGGGTATCTACGAATCAAACCAAGCTCTAGATTCAAGAAAACATGGGATTAGCAATATGGTTGGTGCTTTTTGCCATGTCCTGTCCTTGATGATATGACATCAGATGGATGAATTATGAGATGGTTTTAGTTTGTGATGGGTTTGAGTCTGGATCCTTTACATAGAGTCTTAAACTATTTATGGATTAGTTTTGGGAATGGATATAAAGATGAGCTCTGAGTTGGAGTATATATTTTATTCTATTCCATTCTTCATCTCATCTTCTGTCTATCTATTCTTTCTACTCCAGTATAAACTCTTGACCATCTCATCTTTCGTCTATCTACAAAAATATCACTCAACTCTTTTCTTCTCTACATATACCAGACAAATTTTGTCGCCGGACGACTTTATATAATCATCATCATCATCACATCCACATCCACAAGAACTTCCACTCTCTTCTCTCTTCCCTCTGCGCTGTCTCAATCTTTCCCACCACTCACCACTCACCACTCAACATCAAAAAAATCATTCAACATACCCAGTTCAGCAATTCAGCAATCATGCAATTCACATTCCTCGCCATCATTTCCTTGATCGCCGTTGCGGTCGCTACACCTATTTCCCGTATGTTCTCTACATTTTCTACACTCTTCCTACACCCTTCTACACTATCCACCATCTCCTTCCTATTACCTCCTCCCTCCCCCATCCCTCCTCCAAACCCCCCAAACTAACACCAAAAACCCTCAGCCCTCCAACCCCGTCAATCAACACCCGCACCCTCATCATCATCAGCAGCCGCAGCCGCAGCCGCATCAACACCCGCATCAACATCAGCATCAACACCAGCAGTCGATGCATCCACCGCATCCATGAGCGATGCTCAAGGAAATATTATTAACTTTGATTCTACTGGTGTTTATCAAGGTTTGTTTTTCTTTTCTTTTTCTTTTTCTTCTTTATTTCTCATCCGTCGTTTCCTTTCCTTGCATATCTTTTATTTTGTATTTTGTAATTTGTAATTTTACTTTACTAATACATGTAATAGCTGCTGCGAATGCTGGTATGTGAAGGGAATAATGTGATACTGTGAAGGAGTATTGTGAAGATATGGGGATATGGGGATATAAGGATACGAAATGGAGATTGAACTGTGCCAGTGGAGGGAGGGTGGAGTAGAGTTGATGATTGAGGAAGAGAGGAAGAGGGAGGTGTTGAAGATGTTAGAGATGATAAATATGCGAGTAATGCCAGTGCAGGAGAGGAGTTAGATTGACAAAAATATAATAAATGAATAAATGGATTAGTTGTTGCATATCTCGAATAGGTAGTCAGCTGAAATCTGGGGGTTGGAATTTGTTGTGTTTTGGTTTTGGGTGCATTAGATACTTTTTGAATGTCTTGTAGGATTGGAATATTTTATAGTAGTAATTAGTATTGGTTTTGATGTGTATAGGTATGATTTTAAAGCAATTTTCCGTTGAACTACTAGTATTATACGATTTTCACTTCAGATAAAGAATTTCAATCATCTTCTCGCTCTTCTTGTTCTTCTTGTTCTTCTTTTTTTGAGATAGAAAGAGAGATAAATGAATACAAGTTACTATTATCATATTCGAGTAATTATATCGGATCAACACCGTGACTTATATATAGAGACTCAATGTATATATATAGTACAGGTACTAACGGCTGTAATTTGATTAGATACTAGTAATTGTAATAATTTGGTTACGAGTAATTTATTTCTAGTATAAACTTTCACATTCGTTTGGTTTGATTTTAAGGATTAATATATATCTATCAAAAAATAACTGATCTGATAACGTGAACCTAAATTCGTAGATAGTAATCTGATCTCAAATGTGGGGAAATGATCCATAGAAATTATCTCTCACGCCTTTCCATAGACAACAGCAATCTAACCACATTTTTTATTTTTACAACTGAGTATATAAAATTTCCTCTTCATCTTCTATTACATCGAAAGAATAATATCTACTCATCAATTGCAAGCGAAATCTTGCTTTGATCAATCTCACACTAAATTTTCGAAGATGTCCAATCCCACCACCACCCTCCGACCAAACCTCCCCCCAACCCTCCATCTCCTCCGCCTCGACCCAATCCACTGTCCCGCTCCCGATTTTTCCCCCCTCTCCCACCCACACACCTACACCTCTCTCCCCACCCCCATCCCTCCCTCCTCCACTCTCCTCACCCACCTCCTCCCCGCCCACATCCTCATCACCACGCGTTATTTCCTACCCTCCTCTCTCCTCTCCCAACTCCCAAATCTACGTCACATAGCTATCCTAGCTATTGGAACTGATCACGTAGATATTGCATATTGCAAGGAAAATGGCATTTCAGTGTCGAATGTGCCGGCGGCGAGTAATGAGGCGGTTTCGGAACATGGGTTGGGGTTGTATATGGCGTTGAGGAGAAATGTGGTGGGCATGCATGAGAGGACTAGGGAGGGGAGGGAGTGGGTGGAGAAGGGGAGTTTGACGAGGGGTTTTTATGGGGGGTTGATGGGAGGGTTTAAGGGGGAAGTGGTGGGGGTTGTGGGGGGTGGGGAGTTAGGTAAGGGGTGTTCTTTTGTGTGGAGTTTGTAGAAGTGTAGTTCGCTTCTTGCTTCTTCTGTTGGATTGAATTATAGAAATTTGTCGGATCAAGTGATCTGACATTTTGTTGAAGTTCAATCTTCCTCTCAAATTCATCATAGAATCCTAGAATCCTAAAATCTCAAAATCACCAATACTAACTCACCCACCCCAGGAAACCGAGTAGCAAACCTCTGCCTTGCCCTCGGAATGACCGTTCAATTCTCCGAACGAAAAGGCGTTCCACAAACCGCTACCCGTCCGCACTACACCCCCTTCACCACCGTCCTCACAACCAGCACTGTACTCTTCCTCACCCTACCCCTCACGCCCAGCACCACCAACCTCATTACTCACCACGAGTTCTCCCTTATGAGGCCCGATGCTCTCGTCATCAACATTGCTCGCGGAGGAATAGTTAATGAGGAGGATTTGGTATGTGCGTTGAAGGAAGGAAAGATTGCGGGGGCTGCTACGGATGTTTTTGTGACGGAACCGGCGGGGAGAGATAGTGTGTTGGTGAGGGCGGCGAGGGAAGGGGAAGGGGAAGGTGGGTTGGGGGGGAGTGGAAGGTTGATTTTGAGTCCACATGTGGCGTGGTATGGGAGGAGTAGTGTGGATAAATTGAGGAGGGTTGTGGCGGAGAATGTTAGGGCGTGGTGTGAGGGGGGTGAGGGGAATGTTGTGGGATGATTTGTGGGAAAGAAAGAATGGGATAGATGGGGTAGGTGGGTATAGATATTCAGGGGCTTGGCGGTTGAGATTAGATGGATGCCTCGAGGCTATGATCATTTCTATGTTCTTTTCTTTTCAAAATATTTCTATATAAAGATCAATCAAATCACCCCTTCAGTCCAGTGAGTCGTGCCAAATCGCCATTTCCTTGTATAAATTTAGTAACATCTGAGGAAACTTATGGTATACTTACTATAGTCACAATTACAAAAAGCCTTCCCAATACTCTTCGTCCATATGTCGAAGGCCAATACTCGAGTAGTGAATCAGGGCTGCAGTCCAACATGAGAGGGTTTCCATTATGAATTCTTTTGAAAATTGAAATCATTTAAAAGATCGTTATCATTGAAAGATTGAATCTATCCGAGTAGTCAAATGAGTATTTTATTATTAAAGCTTTGATAGCTTTAAGTGTTGCAACACTAAAATCTTGTATCTGGCTGCTACTGTAGTGCGGACTATTGGATACATCAATAACGGACATTCAATTAATCTCTCTAGAGTATCTATTTCTCTAAAACCACTCCTCATCCTCATTTCCTCCTTATCCCCATCTCACCCCCCATTTCCCTCCCCCTCCAACGGTCTAATCACAAAACTCACTCCTGATAACCATATCCCCAATACCTCAATATCCTCCTCCCGGGCCATAACAGCACTCTAAATTCAAAATCTAAACCTCCCACCCCCACCCCAGCCATAGTAATATTATTTGAGTCTGTCTTGATATAAAAATAATATAATTTTAGTTTTAAGATCTATCTTACATTCCGAGTCTTTTTCATCTTATTTATATTCTTAGATTAAGATAATATTATTTCCAAATATTTATTTTTTGGACATGATGATACGATATGATATATTAATTGAGATTTAAACAGAAAGTCCACGTGTTATATATTTTGAATATCAAAGTTGAAAATGTTATTACTTCAAGTTGAAATAAGCTTGACATTTGAATGAATGACCCCACTGGCATGATAATGTAAGTTACTACCAGTATTCTCTCCAACCACTTTCCTTCAAGTTCCGAGTCCCACTGCCCATCCACCCATCCAGCAGCTTAAGGGAATAAAAAATAGAAATAAAATATACATCATAGAAGCAAGAATAAGCGATTAGCTACTAGTAAATCCACTTGTATATACTAGAGTACTATAGAATAGAGTACGTACTCGCGTAAAAATTTCAATAGCAAAGCCTTAACTTTGTGCCGATGAAACAAACGCCTTACTATATATACCGCGATCACTAGTACATACATACTATAGATTATAATTTAGATCTAGCTTTCAAGTTCTAGAATTTATAGACTTGTCTCTCTCTCGTGCATGACTCAGACTCAGATAGGCCGCGTGACTCTAGACTTGTGTATACTGTATACTGATTAGTATATTTGTCCCATCTGTACTTGTTTGTACATGCCGTGGCTTATATGTTTAGATCCGAGGTAACTGAAGGATCTTTGATTTCTGCATATTTTGTTAACCAGAAATCGAAATGTGGGTTATTGGAGATGTTATGTTGTAAAGGTTGAATTTGTATTAAATAACTTGAATGTGAGCAATGTATAAGACAAGATAGATTAAATATGCAAAGTGCCGATCTAACAGTACAAAACCAACAAATGAGGGAAACAAAATCACAAACCAGGAATCTAGTTTAGACTACCAGAAAACCGGGTTGGAAAAAAGTATAATTTTAGTCCACAAAAAGTTTTCAAGGAAATTCCGTCACCATGCAAACGGTGAAGAATTGACAGTGACAGGAATATTTTGATTGTCAGAAAACTGAGTACATGCAAAAAGTGAGCATAATATCCTCCATCCAGATCTCCAGTCATTATCCACGCGCAAATCCACTCAAGAAAAAAGTAAACCCCCAAATACCCCCAGTAAACCTAGCCTTCCCTCAGACCCCATAACTCCTCCCAGACCATAACTCCCTCGAAACTTTCCACCCCTCCACCGCGCCTCGCCCCAAAGCAGCATCATCCCAATCCTGCAATCCCTGTACCCAATGCCCCCCAGAAAATCCTCCACAGCCCACTCATCTCTACTTCTCAGCTGCCGCCTCCTCATCCACCGCCTTCGAGGCCGAAGCCGAGCCAGAAGAACGAGCCAGAATCCCAGCGAGACAACCGACGACGATGATGGCAGCCAGCACACAACCTGCAACAATCACGGTCTCGATGGTGTAAGACTCGGGCGCAATGCAAATGCCCATCGGGTTGTATGGTTGTTGGCACCCGCCTGTACCATTGTTTGCGGTTTGGGGGACGCTCATGTTGGTGTTGGTGGTGTTCATGGTGATTGATTTGTTTAAACTTGGTTTTTGTTTAAACTCGGTGGTTGGATTTGATGTTGTATGTTTGTGATGATGTTTATGTTTGAAAATGGTGGTTGAGTTGAGCTTTGGTATGTTTGTGATGATGAGAAAGAAATTGAATTCATGGAAAAAGAAACCCTTTTTAAATAATGTGCGAAGAATTATGCGTTGGGAAAGATGGACTAGTACAGGATTTAGTGATAACTAGGTAATGGTCAATTCCTGCCTGCAAATCTCAATTGCGTAACGCCTGATGTACTAAACAAACCATTATGTGTGCATTGGGGAAAGTGGAATAGGATTTCCTGATTTAGGTTGGGACTAATCATACCGGCATTCATTAGTCTATGAACTACCGACACTAATTGTTAAGTAGCCTTGGAAAAGAAAAGTCTAATTATATAACCATGATAATCCATGTGGCAATTTGTAGGAAACATTCCGAGCTAAGTTTCAATTTCGACAAGATAATCCGCATCTTTTACTATCCGACAGATACTGATGGTCTATAGTAATTAGAGTGGCAAATTACAGGAGCTTATGTGGAAATTTTCGTTTGTCTACTCTCTTGACTAGTGTGGTTAGGAGAGGAAATTTAGGAGGACTTTGGAGAAATATCCATATCAATACTCGAGTAGAAGGCGGCGTATTATTCGAAGATGATAAAGTTTATTGAGGCAGCGGGTGTGGGTAGATCGTATTCAGCGCCTTAGATGGTATGGAAAGCTTGTTGGGATGAGCCTTGCAAATCAAGATTCTAGATATGCAACATAATTATCTAAAGATTGTGATTGGAGTATGACGTGCTCGAATAATGCTAAATAATTGATAGCTTCGAACTAATTAAGATAGTACTGGAGCTGGGAATACCACCAAACGCTTGTCAGGATGAGCCCCGCAAAGAGAAATCATAGACATACAGCATGACATTTCTGGAGAACTATGTTTGAATTTTATTTGAGAAGCAATGATGTAGAAAGATACAATTGGAATATTGGTTTGGTATGAGCCAAATGAGGACAAGCGAAAAGGCGCAATAGCCAATCACAAGAAAGAAAGGAGCTCAAACATGGAGGAAGGTTGGAGCTAAACACCCGACTACACCCAAATTCAAGGAAAAAAGTTTTCTGGATTCCAGATGTGGGCGAACTAATCGACTTCCAATGATCTAAACATGCTGGTGTTGTCAAGCACAGATGAAATGTGAACTTTAAATTGCCAAGGCGCAAACCCATTCTTAACATCGGTGATACCGCTATGTATCATCAGTCAAGAATTGAGCTGCAGCACTTGCTGCCTCATCAGTCTCCAATTCCCCCCATTGTCCTCCCCACAAGAAAAATATATCACGCGGTGCATTTGCAATCTCATATATCCTCACTCTGTGTTCCTTTAAATCCTCCATTTCCCCTGCAAACTTAACAATTGCATCGATAAGTACTTCTACCGTTCCAGACATCATCCATATGGGAAATAGGGTCAAAAAGGAATGGCGTAGTGGTGAGAACCAAGGCATCGTGACTTCCATTGAGACTGGAATACAAAAGTTGATACCCCATTCTAACGTGAACCTAGCCAAGTAATCCGTTTTGGTATATCGATGCGTATCAATATGGGTGCGAATTTGAGAGGCAAGATCAATAGACGGATTCCACAATGTACACGCGAAAGGATTGGGTAGAACATCCTTCCAACCCCCATCCTCTGAGTCCTGCTCAGATATACATTTCAACAGTGCAACCGCAATATTACCCCCAGTCGAATCAGCCAAATAGTTATTTCAGAGGGAGAAACACTCAAGTCAAGAAGAGATAGATAGGTGGTGACTGCATCCTGGAGAGCTGCTGGGAATGACGAGACCAGATCACCGGCAAGACGATATTGGACAGAGAGTATCTAGTGAGAAGTTCAGCAGCGTCCGCACACTCTGATATCCGACCAAGAACCGAATGTGCATGAACCGCCGTGAAAATGAAGAACGACGGTCTTTTGTTCACCGAATCGAAATAGTTCTGGATACCATGCCTCCTCCAATTGTAGTTGGAGCTACCGAGCCATTCACGAGAATGGCTTTGTATATCTTCTTGTCCGATGGGTTTATGAGTATGAAACGATCTCCTTCGATTCCTGGGTTCATGAGAGAGGTAGGAAGAGTTTGAGATATGCAATATGATGGAGAGCCCTTCTGAAAAAGTCGTTTGTCATGGCATTGCGATGCATCCAATGAGGATTTTGACGTGTTGCTATTGGGATGTAGTATAGGCTTGAGAAGAGCATGTGGGCTGTAAGATGGGATAATGCAATTGAAATCCAGAGAAATTTTTCGGGCTGCCGAGCGCGGAAGGTTTTGGGAGGGAGGGTCATTCTGGATTGGGTGTTTAATAGATTCAGAAGCTTTCACTGCTGGAAATGGCTGGTTATGCCAAACAGACTTAATGCTATGATCAAGCAAAGAAACCCCTCTTCATGCATGGAGCCGTGCTCTGATGATAATTCAAGTATATCTTGTCAATTCTCCGCCTACACTGGTAGATTTTTGGAATGTTCTGAGGTTGTGGGAAGGTACCCCAGTCCGTTATTTTTGGCTGACCAACATTTCTGCCTGTTGGCGGCGTTTCCACTGTCGTACAGACATATATTGTTAGCATATCATGCTCATCTTGGTAGCATTCAATTTGCTACACCCTCGTTTTCTTGGTAATCCATATCTCAAGCGGAAAATGACTTATTCTATAGGGTATTATATCTCTCTCCATGCCATGATTAATCCATCCCTGGTAATCCTTCGGTCCCACCAATCTTCTCCCAGAACGCTTCAAAATCAACCCCCTGTGCCTCAAACATTATTTTGGCCTTCTCCATTGTGGCCTTTTGTTGCTCCGGACCAAAACCTTCTAGTTTCGAGGACTCATATTGGACCAATTCAATCCATTTGAAGAAAAGATTTTCCTTGCCCATCAATGTTAATTGATCCTTGAAAGCTGTGATTTTATTCCTTCCCAATTCTTCCTTACTATTTGGATCGATCGGAGCTTCCGTTTGAACCATCCATCCATAAGTCACATGCCATGCGAAGACGGTGGTCTTAAAATCTTGAAGATCCATAATCTTCTTATCTATCAGCTTTGTAGCCTGAACTATGGCTTTCCAGTCCAAGTCCCATTCCTTATTCAACATCAAATATCCTGTCTTTTGTGACATCCATAATGGCTCGATGGCTCTTCTAACATTCGTTGCCATCAATTCTTTGCCAGTTTCGTTATCTTCCTTCAAGAAATCGCCAATCGTTTGATCCCACTTCCTACTCCGACGCACAATGATCTCTCTCTCACGGAAACCTACCCCGATTCTCCATGACACAGGATTCCCAATTGTTCGTCCCAGAAAGAAATCCCGAGGCCATGGCCATACAAAAACGTATAGAAGTAGATCAATCATAAATCTCGAGGCCCGGCGTAGGATCTGGAATCCTGTATCATTCAATGGTATCTGATGCGTGTCAATTGTCGTTTCGTTGTAATTTCCCATCATCGAAAAGCAAATTTTCATGTAAAAGGGGAAGACAATAGAAGCTCGCCATGCCAGTCCTGCGATGATTGCGACATTCATAAGCACAGGAACGAGGAATATCTTCTTCTTAAATTCCGCTGGGTGTTTATCGATATGCGCAATGTATATATGATATTTTGAGAGCTTTTCGAGGAATGGTTCAAGCTTTGGAGGAGGCCGCGTAAAGGGGGCCGGAGGTTCATCTGAAGGAGTGGAAGAAGGTCTTGTAGTGGAGGGAAGTTTGAATGTCCTTTTAGACTTCGGTTTAGGAGGCATGATGATCCGCAGATATGGTACAACAATGTCGAGTATGAAGTCTAAACATATCGTAGAGATTGATGTTGATGCATAGGTATCAAGACTGTAAAAGCGAACTTGGCAAGTTCCGGTATCCGTAAAGTTTTTCTAAGTAACCTTACCAGTTATCAAGAAGGCAACTTTATAAAATTTATTTGAATTAACTATTCATTGAAACGACAATGCAACCATGAGGAGGGGTCGCCATTTATTGAAGGTATGGGGTTTTGATTCTATTCTATACTTTCAAAATTTAATTAGTATAGGAACCATCAACGCCATCAGTATGCGCTTTTTGTTCGCATCGGCTTGGGGCAATTCGCCGTCCTTCACAGATACAGCGTCGATTTCTGCAATCCTCTAATTCGAGATCAAAACCACCTGCCGAAGGTGCTGCGGAACGGGAGTCTGAAGAAAATGAATCAACTCCTCCGCAACCGCAGGCCCCTGCTGCACCATGGCGTCCAGGACCGGGAATGGGAAACAGCTTCGCCAAACCAGCCTTTGGAGGTTCTAAGGTTCCAGGAGTAGGATCTTCTGCCGGCTTCGGTCGTCCAGCAGCAGGAATTCCCATGAAGTCAAGAATACCGGATCCTCCACAGCCCGAGCAACCAGAGGAGACCGCTGCGGAGGAGCCTTCCCAAATGAACCAACGAAAGATAAAAATACATTCAGGACCTGGACCAGAGTCGAACAGAGGCAACAGGCCAATACCGTATTCACAAGAGTTACAAATGGAAATCGCTAGAAGCGCAGCGGCGAAGAAAACGACCATGGATATAAATGCAATGAACAAGCAGCGCACTCAACCCGATGCGCCTTTACGCTTTTTCGAGAAGGACGGCTCACGTATCCGTAGTCATACTTCTAGTCAAATAATAAATGACTCTACGGAAACGACTACTCCACCCGAAATCACTGGCAAAGCTTCCGAAGATGAATCGCAATGGGCAAAATTGAGAAAGAAGGTTGAAGAACAGCGGCCGCCACCATCACCACCACAAGATCCTATTGCTGAAGCTCAAGCCAGAAGGGAACAAGAAGCAAGTTCGGGTGCTTACAAGCCACTGAGAAACATTGTTCCATCGGAAAGAGGCAGATTTGGAGAGGTTCCACGGGCAGATATGTGGAGCAGGCCTAATAATTATGGTAAAGAAAATGATACGGCCTCAAATTCGCAAACGACTCCCCCGAACAATTACCAGCCCTCACCAGTTAGTGCGGGCAGCAATGATGCGGCCTCAAAATCACAAACGACTCCCCCGGACAAGTACCAGCCCTCACAAGTTCGTGCGGGCAGCAGGTCTTCATTCAATTCAGTCTCTAGATCAAATTCGGAACCGGTCCGTCCCGCACAATCGGTCCGCCCCGCAGAATCGGTCCGTCCCGCAGAATCAGCACCATCTGCTCGTAGTATGTTGAAACCTCTTGGGTCTTTTGGATCCTTTGGATCTTCTGCATTTGGTCCAGGCTTCGGTAAGGCTGGTGGAAGTGGATTCAAGATCCCCGGTCTGACAACTCCAAGCCCATTGGTCGAGCCAGTACGAATCAAGGTAGCTGAAAATCCCGTTGAAGAACCTGTTGAAGAACCTGTTGAAGGGCAGGTACCCGTAGCACATCATCCACAAGCCATAGAAAAAGAAAAATCCATAGAAAAGAAACCTTAGATGTTCGCGAACAAGTTATCAATGCATTTTCAACCCCACGAGAATTGGAAATTCGACATCGAAGATTATCAGGACGTTTTGGAATTGACGACAGCCCGCTTAAGACAAATGTTCCGAGTTCCAGAGATCAAACATTGCCCACCAAGGCACATGGGAAAGCGTCCAAGAAAAAAGGGAACAGGCGTAGAGAGATGGACCGGGACGATGATGAAGAGAGAGGTGGGGCAGATGAGCGAGCAGAGCTCAAGAAACAACGAAAACGTGATAAGGCAGCAAAAAAGGCAGCTGCGCCAACGTTGATGATTCTACCTGAATTCATTAGCGTCTCAAACTTAGCTGTCGCTCTCAAGGTCAAGCTTGAAGATTTTCTCGAAAAGCTGGAAGAACTAGGATTCGAAGGTGTAAACCATAGTCACATTTTGAATGCTGAAGATGCTGGACTTATTGCTATGGAATATAATTATGAGGCCATTATAGAACGAGGCGAATCTGAAGACTTGAGGGCTAGACCTGCTGCGGAAGACCCATCAATACTTCCGCAAAGAGCTCCGGTCGTCACTATCATGGGTCACGTTGACCATGGAAAAACTACAATTCTTGATTATCTTCGAAATTCTTCTGTTGCGGCATCAGAACATGGTGGCATCACTCAGCACATCGGAGCATTTTCTGTGCCTATGCCTTCGGGAAAGACCATTACCTTCCTTGACACTCCTGGTCATGAAGCCTTCCTGAGCATGCGTCAAAGAGGTGCTAATATTACTGATATTGTCATCTTGGTTGTTGCTGCAGATGACAGTGTTAAACCACAAACGATCGAAGCCATCGGTCATGCAAAAGCAGCAAAGGTACCAATGATTGTTGCCATCAGTAAAATCGATAGGCCTGAGATCGACATTGAACGCGTCAAACAAGATCTTGCTCGTCATGGTGTTGATATCGAGGATTTTGGTGGTGACACTCAAGTTGTATGTGTCAGTGGTAAGACTGGGAAGGGAATGGAAGACTTGGAAGAAGCCGCCAATACATTATCCGAGATCCTTGATATGCGTGCCGAAACAGATGGTCAAGCAGAGGGTTATGTCATTGAAGCAAGTATAAAATCTATGGGTAAGGTTGCTACAATCTTGGTTAGACGAGGTACCATGAGATCGGGAGATTTCATCGTCGCTGGTAAAACATGGGCAAGAATTAGATGTCTACGCAATGAAGCAGGCGTTGAAATCGAAGAAGCTGGCCCAGGTACTCCAGTAGAAATTGATGGATGGAGAGAGCAGCCATCTGCCGGAGATGAAGTTCTTCAAGCTGTCGATGAAGCAAAAGCCAAAAGTGTTATTGAATTCCGGCTCGAGAGAGAGGAACGAGACAAGATGGCCGAGGATATGGAAGCCATCAATGAGAACCGCAAAGTCGAACACGATAAACGTGAGCGTGAAAAGGCAGAGAAAGAAGCTGCTGATCTTGCTGGTGAAGAAGGAGAAAAGTCCGTTCCTGCTCCCATCAAAGAACCCACTGGCCCTAAACCTGTTTACTTCGTTATCAAGGGTGATGTAAGCGGATCTGTCGAGGCAGTAACCGATCAATTGAACGCTATTGGTACCAAAGAAGTGGAACCCATCATCCTTCGATCCGGAGTCGGTAAACTCAACGAATCTGATATTGAGCATGCTGCCACCGCAAAGGGATACGTTCTCAACTTCAATACTGAGATTGACGCTAACATGTCTTCATTTGCTGCGCAGAACAAGGTCAAAATCTTGGATGGTAATGTCATCTATAAGTTAATGGATGATGTAAGAGCCGAAATGTCGACATTCTTACCACCAATAACTACACAAAGGGTATTGGGTGAAGCGATGGTGGCGCAGGTTTTCGATATTAATATCAAGGGAAGAAAGTACAGGAGTGTCGCAGGTTGTAAAGTTCGCAATGGTACCGTCTCCAAGGATGCCAAGTATAGGGTATTGAGAGATGGGGAGAAGGTCTTTGATGGTATGTTACTGTTACTGCTAGTTTTTTTTACTTTGACTTTCATTATCCCCTTGGCTTTCATTCATTTCCTTTTGAAGACCAATATACTAATTATACCAACAGGTAAACTTGAATCTCTCAAGAACGTCAAGAAAAACGTTCAGGAAATGAAAAAGGGTGGTGAATGTGGTATGTCATTTGTAGGCTGGACGGATTTCCAAGTAGGTGATCAAGTCCAGGCGTATGATGAAAAGCAGGAGAAGAGATATTTGTGATTTGATTTCTTCCTAGGGAGGCCAATGCAATGCAATGCAATGCAATGGCGATGTATAACTATAGATCCAAACTTCATGTTCGCATGCATGAATGGTTGGGGTCATGAGGAATGAATATGACTGGATGATGGGATGGAAAAGTTCTATGTTAAGGAAGGAAGAAAGAAAGAAGAAGATTTATACCAGATATCAGATGAATATATGCATGGGATGCGAGGCGAGGTGGGGTGAGGTGAGGTGTCTGTTGGTTGGATTCATGTGTAGTTACTAGATCTGTATATAGATCCTTCTCTTCTATGATATTTCACCGCTCTTTACTAGGAAGATGTATTCTTTGTATCTTTCTTATATGAGTATCAATGTATGTATGATTATTGACTCTTGGCTCTTCAATTCCAATTCCAATTCATTTGGAATTTATAATTTTTCTCGTATCTATTCTATTTTGTTCTGTTTGATATCTCTCTCTTCTTGCTTCTTACTAATAACTACTAATCGAACCGGTACGGTATTCGTCTCGAGCAGTGGTTAGTAGTGTAGTGTAGTAAGGAATCGGTACTTGAACTGAACTGAAGCGAAAATGAAACGAAAATGATATGAAACGAAATGAAATGAAACATGCACGACCGATTTTGTTTCAAAATATTAGATTTTATTGGTTGAGGGGTGGGATCGACGGGATCAACTGGATGGACTTGGATCGACAGGCTCTTGGGGCTCGGGGTGGAGAGGAGAGGAGAGGAGAGGAGAGGAGAGGAGAGGTGGAGGTGGAGGTGGACGTGTTTTATTGAATTGGGTTGGATTGGATTCGGGTCGATGTATAGATACGGATGTAGGTGAATAGATAGATAAATAAACAAATGGAATAAGCAAATGAAAATAGATAACTCTGATGGGTGATTGATTGGGACATAAGGTATTCGAGTATGCTAGTTTAAAGATGGGAATGGAGATCTAAAACGTGGGGTGTGAGAAAGTGGGTATAGTATAGTATAGTATAGTATAGTACGGGGTAGAAACATATGATGTTTCTCGCATCTCATGGGATTTTACTTGGAGGAGAGAAGGGGACGCGGATGGGAAAGAGAAAGAGAAGGGAGGGAGGGATGGTATGGATGGAGATGTGGATATAGATGCGAGGTAATGGTTGTGTTCATGCGGATTTGGGTATTGGGTATGGGTAAGGTAAGTCGTGCATTCTGTTTCATTTTACTCTCCTCTCTCTCTCTCTCAATCATTTTCATTTTCAGACTTTTATTCTCATTGTTTTGTTTAATCTTTGCATAGAATATACACATTTTTCTTTTCTGGAATCAAACATCAATCATTTTATACTCTAGTATACGGTATATGCAATCTCCATTTAGTATTGCTACGAGTACGAGTATACCAAATAACATACATCCATATATATACCGATTCAGCTATCCACATCCACATCCACATCTTTAAAATATCATATCATATCATTTTCTACATCACATCTTCTATTTGAAATTCTCAAATCACTCTCCGAGTCCCACACACAAACCAAACCAAACCATGATATCAGCCTTCTCATACCTTTATACAAGCACCAAAAGTAGCACAGATCAATACCAAGAACAACGGATTCAAAAGAGAGAATGGAGGAAAACAATGATGGATCAAAAGGGATTTGGAAATGGGAATGGAAATGGGGATGGAAATGGAGAGAAATATGAATCGAGAAGATCGGTTTTTGGAGGAGAGAGAAGGAGGAGAACGGGGAGGGCGGCGTCGGGGTGGTATGGTGATGTAGGTGTGGGTGTGGGTGTGGAGGGGAGAGATGGGGGGTTAGGTGGTGGTTTGGATGGAGATGATAGGGGGAGAGGGAGAAGAGAAAAGGGAAGAATGTCTGTTTTGGAAGATGGGGGGAGGAGAGAGTGGGGGTGGAAATGTAAATGGAAATGGAAATGAGAGGGGTAAACACGAGATGATTTCGAAAGGGAGGGAAGATGGAGAGGGTGAGGATGGGGATTGGAATGGCAATGGCAATAGCAATGGTAAAAAAAGAGGAGGAGGGGGAGAAGGAAGAGAAAAAGAAAGAGAAAGGAGTAAATGGAGACAAAGTGTAATCTCAATGTTTCAGCCTGCGTTGAAGAAGGGGGATTTTTGAATTTTTTGAATTCTTTAAGGTTTTAAGTTTTTGGATTGGTATTGGATTGGTATTGGATTGGATTGTGTTAGTATTGGTATTGGGTTGTATTGAGTGATTATTTATTTAGCTTTGGGGGAAAGAAAAGACAAGAGATATGAGATAAGAGACAAGAGAAAGTATTGTTTGTGTATGTGTATGTGTATGTGAAAAGTATTTGATTTGAAAGGGATTTGGATTTGAATTGAATTGAATTGAAATCGAAGTTGGAAGGAAAGGAAAGGAAAGGATGTGAATTAAGTGGATGGATAGGTTTGGTGAGATCATTATATACATCATTTAAATGTATATCATCCCATCCTATTCCATCTCATCCGGTGCAATCGGATTACTGAGTGCTGATTACAGATTACAGATTATTGAGGAGGGAAAGTATTCAGAATGAATGGCATGACACGGTATTTGATATTTGATATTGGAGAGGGAGGGGCATTGAGATACTATGTATGATTAGTGTTTTATCTTGTGGTTCTTATTCTTGTTCTTATTCTTGTTCTAGTTGCTGTATGTCTGTTTATAATATTGGTTTTATGAAATACCTAGTTATATCTCATCTCATCTCATCTACTCAGTCGATCTATCATCATTTCCCCTTATCTTCTTCTCTTCCTCTCTTCCCTCAGCTACCATCAATTCATCCATCCAACCATGCATATACCATCAACTTCAACCATCGATCAGCTCATCAACTCATCTAGGGAAAATGAACAATAACAATCACAATCACAATCACAATCATAATCCCTCCCATTTCATTTCCTTTCTCACCTCCTCCTAACACCTAAACCACAACATCCACATCCACCCCAATCTCCCCAATAGCCTTCACCAACCCCTCCACCGTCTCCCGTCTCGTCTGAACATTAACCACCATCCTAAAAAATTTCCCATCCTCTCCACTTGCATAATCGACCATGAAACCCCTCACCAACAATTTCTGCGTGACTTCCTGCGTTACCTTTGTATTTGAATTGCTATCCCCCAATTTCTTATCTTTCGCATAGTAGAAACATACTTGTAAACAAGGTGGCGGATTTTCGGATACTAGGACTAAATCTGGGTGGTCAGAGACCAGCTGAGAGAAATAGGAGGCGATGGAAAAGGCGTGGTCGATTTGCGTGGTGAAGCCCGATGTACCGTAGTAAATCCATGATAAGGCGAGTTTAAGAGAATCGCCGCGACGTCCACATTGGAGGGTTAGATCTGCGAGATCCCATACTTCGGCGCCGTTTTCGACGGAATGGAAGAGGTAGTCGGCGGGTAAGGTGTTGGCTTTGTGGAATTTGGTTAAATCGGGTCCGAGCAGAAATGAACAAGTTAGAGGGACATTCAACATTTTATGCGGATTTACAGCGAGGGAATCGGCGAGATGAGAGCCTTCGAGCTTTACTTTGTGGGTGGGAGAGAAGATGGCGGGACCGCCCCAGGAGGCATCGATGTGGAGCCAGAGGTTGTGTGATTTACAGATTTGGGAAATCTCGGTGAAGGGGTCGTAGGAACCTAGGACGGTGGTTCCGGCCGTGGCATTTACGTAGAAGGGGGTTTTGTTTTCGGATTTGGCTTTTTGGATGAGGGTGTTGAGTTCGCTGGGGATCATGCGTCCTTGGGGGTCGATGGGGACGGATATCACGTTATTGGTTCCGAGTCCACACATTTGTGCGGCTTTTTCAAGGGAGTAGTGGCCATGAGCGGAAGTGAAGAGGACGAATTTGTGCGATGCATTTCCGGTCTGTTTTGTTTCTGGGAAGAGATTGTTTCGGGCGATGATTATGGAGGTTGTGTTTGAGGCTGAACCACCTTGGGTTGAGATACCTCCTGCGTGGGGTCCATTGAAACCGTAGAGGTTGGCAAAGGCCTTTGCAGTTGTTTTCTCGATGATGGTGAGAGCTGGGGATACTTGGAAAACGTGAAGCTATTGATGGATGTCAGTATAAAGCTGACATAACGTTATAGTTTCCCGGGTAATTAATCTTACATTCGTATTCAAAACGGCCAATATCAACTCGGAGATAACTCCAACCTATGTTTGATTTTCAGCTGAAGTATCTCACGCCTTACACCGCTTCAATTGTGGATGCATACCGCATTGGTGCTTGCATATAGTTTATCTAAGAATCCTTGATCCCACGTATTGACGCTGTACTTGAGCACTTGCTCAACCGTTGTCAATAAACCATCCTTTCCCTTCCCATTGGTAGGGAGATTGAAATCTAAAAGTTGGACTAATTTCTCGGGTTTGTGATGTTCGAGAAGTGTTGTTCTGGGACCTCCACCCGGGATTGCTTTTCCATGACCGGTGTGTTTGGTGGAAGCATCTTCATCTGCCGATCTGATGAAGGGAATGATGAGGGATTGGACAGCATTGAGTAACTAGGTATGATGTGTTAGATGATGTGTACTGATTTATTGGTATGACATGGCAGAGTTGAGTTGAGTTGAGTTGAGTTGAGTTGAGTTTTTATAACTCAGTATATCTTAAAAATTGGAGTGCAACGTGAAGAATGCATGGACTTTTCTCACATCTTCCACTTCATCAGCACGGTTGAGAGGGTTCGGACCATTTGAAACGTTGGTATCCCTGATGGGTAAGTTCGTTGTTCCATTTGAAGACATTTTGAAAAAGAATACGAATTGTTTGTGTAATTGACAGAGAGATAGAAGAATAGAGAACAGAGAATAGAGAGAAGGATTAGATTGAGAGTAGTAAGAATGAAAGAATATAAATCTGTTTATATTATAATTATAATTATACCAAGTATTACTGGTTGTTATTACGCAAAATATAATCAATTCCCATGACGCGCATAAATTTATAAATTCCATCATACATCCCATCCATATATACATTATTATTATATATAACAGCAGAATACCGGTACCGGAGAGGAAGAGTAGTTGGAGAAAAGAAAAGGGCTGAAGGATTCACCGCCTTAAATATAAACGCTGGGATTTGGATTGGTGACAACACTTTCTTTAAAAATAAAACCGCTAGCGCCCGCATTTTACATTCATTTCCAAAACTTTTGATTCGATTTCTTCAATTACATACATTACAAGTACCAGTACAAAATCAATCAATCCCCTCCCTTGGTAAGAGATTAAGAGATTCATTCCTACATAATAATTCAGTCGGTAACCTTTTCATACTTTCACATTCAACATTTCTCTCTACTCTACTTACCCTACTTACCTTTTTCACCCATTAATATACCCTTTCACAATGTCCAAAGAAATTAAACAAGCAAGAGGAAGAAGAGATACTTTGAAGAGAAAGAGAGAAGAAAATCCTGAGAGGGAAGAAGATCATGATACTCAAGATATGAAAAAGCGGAGATCATCCCAAGATGAAGGTGTTTCTTTCATAGGGCTGGACAACGATAAGACTTTTCCCGCCGGCACAGGTACAAACTCGATTGATGTCGCAGAACGACCATATTACGGTTTACTCGAAGATGAAGAACAAGAATACTTTCGAAGAGCTGATGAGTTACTTGAATTGAATGATTTCCCTTCAACCGAAGAACGAAGCCTTTTCCTCGCAAATGTATACCGGGAAGCTCAAGGGAAGGAATTGAAGATTGCTTGTAGTCAATCATGTTCGAGATTGATGGAACGATTGATTTTATTGAGTACCGCCCAGCAGAAGAAGAAGTTGTTTACTCAATTTGCGGGAAACTTCCCCCATTTGGTTTCACATCGTTTCGCAAGTCATTGTTGTGAGATGTTGTTCATTCAATCCGCACCTGTTGTTACCGAGGAACTTATTGGAGAAGAAAAGAAGGACGAAAAGAAGAACGAAAAGAAAGAGGCCGATGATGAAGAGGAGGAGGGAAAAGAAAATGAGGTGACGGAATCAATGGAAAGCTTGTTTTTAGCTGCATTGGACGAACTCGAAGGACAAATGTCTTCTCTCCTCACCGATCGATTCGCATCCCATACACTTCGAGTTTTACTCATTGTCCTTTCCGGGCGACCTTTGGAGAAGTCTTCGACAAAATCATTACTACAAAGCAAGAAGAAGGAAAAGATTGGTATAAATGGATTGGATACCACCCCCACAGAGTTCTCTCTCAACAAACGTACTGTGCCGGAATCTTTTTTGTGGGCGATTGAGAAGATCATCTCGGATACAATTGCATCGATGGATTTAGCTTTCATTCAGGTTCTGGTTGGGCATCCTACTGGAAATCCTTGTTTGCAATTGTTACTCGAATTGGAGCTTTCAAACCCAAACTCGAAAAAGGGCAGTAATTCTGCTCAGAAAACCCTGATATCTACACTTTTACCGGATGACATCACCGTTGAAGGCAGTCAATCTGCCATCTTCGTCAATGGTATTGTCTATGATCAAATTGGATCTCGCGTATTGGAAACCATTATGACACATAGTCCCGGAAAGCTATTCAAACAAATCTATCGGGCAATTTTCAAGGACCGAATCGCAGGTTTGGCACGGAATGAAATTGCATCTTATGTTGTTATTCGAGTATTGAGTCGTCTTAGCAAAGAGGATCTTGAGGAAGCGGTAATAGAAATCTCTCCCCAGATTGAAGGTTTGGTTTCCAGAAACCGAACAAACATTATCAAGGTCTTGTTGGAACGATGCAATGTTCGACGTGCAAGCACTGAGGCTCTAACAAATAGTATTGCTGCTGCATTCGGATCTGACAAGAATGAATTGATGCTGAAAATGGCCGATATTTCTCTCGAAACACTTACAGCTGCTACCGCACTTCCTCTAGCAGCTGCTGACGATGGGACACCAGCACCAGTGGTTATCCACCCAAAACCCACTCCATCTCAACTTCATGGATCTTTACTTGCTCAAACCATGCTCAAGATCCCTGGACCACCTGCGCAACTTATTCAGAATGCCTTGTTGGCACTTCCTACTTCTACAATACTTGCTCTCTCTTTATACCCCACAACAACCCACATCATACAAGCATCACTTCTTCCATCCCCACCTAATACTCCATCAAACCTTCTCTTCCGCCGCAAACTTATCAACTCTATCATCTCACCTTCGGGGACGGTGACATCTACTCCAACAACTCAACCACCAATCGTCACGTTATCCTTGTCATCTGCAGGAACACATATTCTAGACTCTCTCCTACATACAACAACTACCCCAACCTCTACCTCTTCAGCTTCTCTCTTTTCCCTAAGTGAACGTATTGCTTTGTCCCTCATGCCTTACGAAGCTTTAATTAGAGAAAGCTGGACTGGACGAATTGTTTGGAGAAATTGGTCTATGGATTTGTTCAAGAGACGAAGAGCAGATTGGGTAAAGAAGGTTAAGAGTGGTGAGACGGTTGGGAAGAACATTCCAAATCAGATGGTATTGAAAAGTCAGGATGGTAATGCAAATGGCGTTATCGGAAAAGAAATTCTTGGAGATGGTATTGGAAAACCCCACGGCAAAGGCAAAAATGGTGAAAAGGAAGTTGGAGGAGAGAGACAAAAAAGTGCTATTGAGTTGGCGAGAGAAAAGTTCGCAGCTCATAAGTTTGTAGGTGGAAAAGGAAAGAGTATGCCGATCAAGGCGTTCAAAGCAACAGGTGCAAATGCTATTTAAGGTGGGGAGTTGGTGCAAAAGACCATCGTAGTCTGCCTCCACGGCAGTGGCCCCCGGAGGGCTAGCGGAGCGTCATTTCAATTGTTTGATTTATTCATGGATTGATTGGAGGGGTTGATAGAGGGGGGTGATATATGGGGAGGTAAATGAACATGGAATCATGAACGAAACTTCACGATAATGACATGACGGAAAGGGAAGGGAAGGGATAATAAATTTCAATTTCAGCAAACGGTTCGATTCGCTGTCTCAAAAACGAACGCACGAGCATGTTGGGGTATCAGCTTACGAAAACAAACTGGTTAGGAAGGTAAAAAAGTAAAACAATGAAAAGGATTTAAACTTGGAGGAATAAAAAAAGGGCTAGGATACCAGAATGAACGAGTTCACGAATATGAGGAAAGGGAATGGGAGAAATTTAGGGGATGCATGGCTGGCTATGGATATGACTAGGGCTAGGGAGGAGATTGAGCTGGAGGGATGAGCTTGAGGGATGAGGGATGAGAAAGATAGTTTGTTTTACTTGAGATTCTTTTCATTTGTCGAAATAGTTTGGTCTTTGTTTGCTAGCTAGCTAGGTAGCTAGTTAGATAGCTATAATATTAGCTATAATGTTATATTATTATTACATGATTAATCAATCTTCTCTTTAATAATATGTGATATGATATGATACGATATGATATGATGTGACATTTGTACTCGAGTACTGTGGATTGATTATCTTTGACTGTGATCAGTGTGATGTGATGTGATTGTGATATAATTTCAAGTTGGTTGAATTTGAATGCCAAGTCTGAGGGTGGTATTGTATTGTTTATATACGAGGACGAGTAGTAGTAAATCTTATATTGTAGTCTATGAGTTCAAGTGTTTTTTCATTATATACTTGAGTAGATAGTAGATAGTAGATAGTAGATAGTATAGGGAGTGTAGATAGTAGTATAGCGAGTATAGTGAGTGTGGATAGTGTGGATAGTA